ATTAGACTTCAGGTATATACCCTGTTGTACTGCGGTAATGAGGGCCTATGCTGTTGCAATGGGCCCACACAGGTCTATGCAGGGGTGAAAGGCAGTCAATGTCCGTGGACCCTTTATGCCTGTGCCTAAGCAAAGGAGCTGTGACTGCCCTGAGTTCCTAGCTTAGGGAAGCCCACAGATTATTTTTTCCGTTTGTTAATTTGTTCCCTCTCCAAGGCCGGGAGAATGGCTCAGGGTGCATGATGGGTCCTACTTCTGGCCTAGGGGATGCAGCAATGTCTGAAGCTGACCCAGGACGTGGTGCAGAGTGGGGACTAAGCAGGTAAATGGGAGAGAGTTTCTTCCCAAACGGGGTGTTTTTTGGTCCTCGTAGTAGGTTAAACGCATGTACTTATCTTCTGCCAACTGACCGCAGCTTTTCACTGGCTCTGGAGGCCTGAGCAGACTCTGTGCCGCCTGGTCTCTCCTGACGTGGGAAACGCATCCTGAACTCCACTGCTTGGCTCACTGCATATGTCAGCCTATCCGGCCTGCAGGGCGCCAGCTCCTGCCAGGTCTGGTAACTCCTCCCTGCTTCTGAACCGTCTCTTCCTCCCTCTGCCACTCAGTCCGATTCCTCAAGTTTACCTTTGATGTTCAGAGCTCCTGAACTGTCATATATAATGTATTCACTTATTTCTTCTGGACTTTGTTGTAAGAAAGACCACTGGAAGTGTCTGACTATTCCACCATCTTGGCCCTGCCTCCCTCCAAGTTTCTTCTGATTAGTGTTAGTGTGGTACAACTTTCTCCATCCCCCTCCTTTTAATCTTTTGTTGTTGTTAGGTGCCCGCTGGGTAGGTTCAAACCATCAGTCTTTCAGTTAGCAGTGAAGTGCTTAACTCTTCACACTACCAGGGCTCCTTCCTTTTTAATATATCTATGTATATATATTTAAAGTGGGTTTCTTGTAGACAGCGTGTAGTTGGGTCTTTTTTTTTTTTTTTTAAATCTACTCATAGTTTATGACTTTAATTCATATATTTAGACTATTCGCATTTAAAGTGGTTTTTAATGTAGTTGAAGTAGTATCGACCATATTTGTTAACTATTTTCTACTCATTGTCCTTTTTTGTTTTGTCCTCCACTCTTTTTTTTGCCTCCTTTGGTTTTAATTGTTCCTTTTATATGATTCCATTTGTATGATCTGCTCTGTAAGGTATCAATTATACAACTAATCTAAGCCTGCTTTCAAATAACATGATACTATTTCACAGGTGGTACAGGTATCTCATAACAGAGCATTCCAGCTCCTCCCTCCTGCCCTTGTAATACTGCTGTCATAACATTTCACTTATCCATAAGCGGTAATCAATCAATGTATTGTTGCTGTTATTATTTTAAACAGATTCTTATCTGTTAGATCACTTAAGAACAAGAAAAGATATTATTTTACCTTCATTTATTCATTTTGGACACTCTTCCTTCCTTTATGTAGATCCAAGTTTCTGACCTATATTATGTTTCTTCTCTCTGAAGAATGTCTTTTAACATTTTTTGCAAGGCAGGTCTGGTGGAGACAAATTCCAATTTTTGTGTGAGAAGGCCTTTATTTCTCCTTCAGTTTTGAAGGATAATTTTGCAGGGTACAGACTTCTAGGTTAGTGGTTTTTTTCTATAAATATTTCATTCCAATTTCTTTGCATAGTTCCTGAAGAGATGTCCAGTGTAATCTTATCCTTGTTCCTTTGTAGGTAAAGTGTTTTCTTCCTCTAGGTCCTTTGAAGATTTTCTCTTTTGACTTTTCTTTTCTGTAGTTTGAATATGATATGGTTATGTGTAGATTTTTTTGGTATTTTTTAACCTGTTTGGTGTTTCCTGAGCATCCAGCATCTGTAGCTTGATGTCTGTTAACAATTTTGGAAATTTTTCAGCCATTATTAAAGATTTCTTTTGTTCCTTTCTCTCTTTTGTGTCCTTCCAGTTATTCCCATTATACATATTATACCTTTTATAACTGACCCATAGTTCTTGGATATTTTGTTCAATTTTTTTTTTCAGTCTTTGTTCTCTTTGCTTTTCAGTTTGGGGAGTTTCTGTTGACATATCTTCAAGCTCACTGACTCTTTCATCATTACGTGCCCAGTCTCTGATGAGCCCATCAAAGGCCTTCTTCATTTTTGTTAGTGTTTTTTATTTCTAGCATTTTCTTTTAATACTTAAGAGTTTTCATCTCTCTGCTTGTATTAGCCATCTGTCTGCATGTTGTCTCCTTTTTTCTATTGGAGCCCTTAGCATGCTGATCATAATTATTTTAAATTTCTGGTCTGATAATTCCAATATGTCTGTCATATATGAGTCTGGTTCTGATGCTTTTTCTGTCTCTTTAGACTGTCTTTTTGACTTATAATTTTTTGTTGAAAGCTGGACATTATGTGTCAAATTAAAGAAACTGAGGTTCTTTCAGTTGTAATCCCGTGTAAAGCCCTGTTGATGTTGATGTGGTAGTAAGATATGGGCAAAGGGGAAGTGCCTTATGATCCAATGAATAGGTGTCCTGTAGAGTTACTATGAGTCAGAATCGACTCAATGGCAACAGGGTTTTGGTTTTTAGGTGAAACAGGAGTGCTCCAGGTGGCTGGAGTTGAGTATTTCCCTCCTCCATGTTGGTTAGGCTCGGGTAGAATGTCCCATTGTCATGGAGACCAGAGCACTATTTCAGATGGTTAACTTTTCCCTCCTCCTGCTGGAAGCACATGGGGATTTTTCTTCCAGCTTCACAGTGAGAACCTGGTGGGGCTTCTGGAGGTAAAACTCAAGAAAATACACCCGTCTTAGTTATCTAGTGCTGCTATAACAGAAATACCACAAGTGCATGGCTTTAACAAAGATTTATTTCTTCACAGTAAAGTAGGCTAAAAGTCCAAATTCAGGGCATCAGCTCCAGGGAAAGGCTTTCTCTCTGTTGGCCTTCTCATCAGTCTTCCCCCCATTAGGAGCTTCCAAAGGATGTGCTCCACTCCAGGCACTGCTTTCTTGGTGGTATGAGGTCCCCAACTCTCTGCTTGCTTCCCTTTCCTAAAAGTGGTGCAGGCCACACCCCAGGGAAACTCCCTTTACATTGGATCAGGGATGTGACCTTAGTAAGGGTGTTGTACAATCCTACCCTAATCCTCTTTAACATAAAATTACAATCACGAAATGGAGGACAACCACACAATACTGGGACTCATGCCTAAACAAGTTGCCTAAACAAGTTGACACATGTTTTTTGGGGACACAATTGTTTGTTTCAATCCATGACAACCCCCTTCCTGAGGCTGAGCCCTGCTCCCAAGGCTGGGTCCCCAGAAGTTTACTTTCTCAAGCTGGTCTGTACTCAGTTCCCAGCAACTGGTCAGTTTCCCTTTTAGTACTCCTAGCTGGTGCTGTGTCCACTGGTGGCACTTTCTCCTCCCAGTAAGTGGTGATCCGCTGTACCAGCCTGCCTGTCTTTCCAGTTTTCATGGTGGAGGTTTTCCCTGTGACCTCAGTTATCTGATACAGCTAAGAAAAGTTGTTGCTTTTTCAGTTTTTCAGCTTTTTTCTTATCATGAGTATGGGAATGATGGCTTCCAAGCTTTTTACAAGCCAGACAGGAAATCAGGAGTCCCCTTCTTGTGTTTCTTGCTTTCTAACTCAACATCAAACTTCTGAGTTAAATGTTTTCTACATTTTTATTAGGCAAATATCCGAAGTGTACGTAAATGAGAGAGAGAGAACAGTGTCCTGAGCTTCCCTCCCGCCCTGACTCCCTGAAGCAGCAGCATCCCTGATGGCTGGTTAGCATGTGGTGAAACTGGTCACAGCTGCATTCACAGCTGTCAGTCAGCCATGTTTGCATTTGTCTAGGTGGCTTCAGGTGACCAGGCTGTCCAGGGAAATGGTGGCTCAAAATGCAGCTTTTTGCCAGGAACTCAAATGTCTGTTTCAGTTCTTGCCACAGGGACTAGGGAGGGCTGGGGTCCCTGGCAGCTACCAGATGGGGGATAGTCCTGAGCAGTGCTGACTCTTGTGTCTCTTCTGCAGCCCAGTCCCCACTGAAGCTGTGTCCTGGGAGCTGGAGACCTTGGGCCACTCCCACTTGGTGCAGAAGGCCCAGGATGTCCTGCTTCTGAGGAGGGACGAGCCAGATGCCAGTGGTCAGCATGCAGAGGCTGGGCGGCAGTGTGGGCCACACTCACTGCAGCTCACACAGAGGCCATGGTACTGGGACTCTGTATCTGGAACCCTCACAGGCTCCCTGAACTCCAGTGCCCTCAACTTTCGATGCTTTTTGCCTTTACTGGAAACACAAGTGCGCCCCTATAAAACAACATATCAAGCAGCATCCTCTTTGTCCATTTCTGACTATGGTGCCTGGGGGCAGCCTCGTGCACATACACTGGGCTGGGAGGGCCTCTTGCTCCTGCCTGCAGGCTGTTGTCCCCACGCCAATCTTCAACCCTCAAAATAGAATGCCTTGCATTACACATTTGTGTGTTTTTAACTTTTTATAAACTGATTTTTATTTCATTCAGTGCTTAAATATGGCTCCCTCTTGAAATAAGGGCAGTTCTCCATTGTAGATGGAAAGATTAGCAGAGTCCCTTGACTGGCTGAAGTCACGAGTGCTGGGACTGAGCTGGCCAGGCAGCTTGCATCCAGGGTCAGCCCTGGACCATCAGGGAGGCTGGGAGACCATGGCCACACCAGTGGGGAAAGGCTCACCTCCTGCGGGGCCAAGTCCAAGGAGACGGAGCAAGTCCTTCAGAGACCACTGTCCACGGAGGGCCGGAGCGTGTCCTTCAGAGATGAACGTCCACAGCGGGCTGGAACACTCTGGAAATTCCCAAAAGTTCACTGGAGACACCACAGCAAACAGCAGGAGGGTGAGGTGCGTCCCCATAGATAGCAGGACCCTTTGCTGTAGAAAATCAAGAAAGCAGCTTTGGAGAAGTAATAGAATGGGTTGTTTTTAGTGTAATCAAAGCTGCTTAAATAACCACAAACAATTCCAGAGAAATGGCCTTGTTGAAGCATGGGAATAGGTCGATTCAACACCCAGACCCGCCAGGGACTCCATATAGTGAAGCTTCATCCAGTGCTGGTCTAACATTTCAATCCAAGTAAAACTAAACAGTTCCGCAAGGGGACATGTTGAACAAAGAAAGTAATGTACCAACGAACAGCAGCTGTGTAAACAAAAAGAATAATGTCGAATATGTGGATGTTTTTCAAAGCATGTAGACAGTAGTAGCATATAAACTAGGGGCAGAGTTGCTGACTGGAGTTAAAGCATGTCAGGTTCTTATACTGTCTGGAGTATAGTGCAGATAAGTGAACTGTCACCTTCACTAAGTATGCATGTTGACATATTTAGGGTAACCACAAAAAGAGTTAATATATGGAGAAAACCAAAAACCAACCTCGTTGTCGTCAAGTCAATTCCAACTCATAGCAACTCATAGCAACCCTACAGGACAGAGTAGAACTGCGCCATAGGGTTTCCAAGGAGCGGCTGGTGGATGTGAACTGCTGACCTTTATGGTTAGCAGCCATAGGTCTTAACCACTGTGCCAGGAGGGCTCCAATATATATGGAGAACATAACTTTTAATCTAGTCAGGGGGGAAATGAAACGAGAGAAAAAACTTTCGAAAATACAAGAATGGCAAGAGAAAAGAAGCAAAAGTAGATCAAGCAGCAAAATATTAAGTGTATTATTAGTACACAGACTAAATATAAATGGATGAAATTCTCCAGTTAAAAGACAAAGCTATTAGAGACTGGACAAGAAATAAAACGTAGCTCCATGCATTTGCAAGGGACACACCTAAAACAAAGACAGTAAGTCAAGGAAGGGGAAGAGATACAGTAGACAAATACCGACCTAAAGAAAGCTGGCCGGGGGTCATTAAAATAGTAGGTTTTACCTTAACACAGTAGGCTTTAAAACAAACAGCATTATTAGAAATAGAGAATATTACATGATAGTAAAAGGTTCAATTCATCAGGAAGATGACAGACCGTACGTACCCAGTAACACAGTGTCAGAATACATAAAAGCAAACAATCCAGAAGAAATTGATAAATCTGCCACCATAGTATATTAAAATCAATATATCTGATATAAAATTAAGGAAGCATATGGTTGAAAAATAAAGAAAAGGCTTGATCTAATGAACGTAAATAGGGTACAGAACCCAAATGGTGTGTATGTGTAAAACTGTATAAAGAGGGAAAAAAGTATGTGGTATGTGTCTATCTAGTTTGTATCTTTCCAACTTTAAGAACACAAGACTCTTCTTTAAAAAATATGATTTAAAAATAAATTATAATGAAAATTAGTAAAGATCCTGTGAATCACAATAGATTCACCACCTAAAGGATTTTTGAAACCTGAAGTGATACATTAGAAAAGAAGAAAAACTAAAAACTAATGAGCTAAACATATAAGAAGTTAGAATAAACCTAAAGAAAGTAAAAAAAATAATTGTAAGAGCAGAATTCATGAAATGGAAATGAAGCATAAGAGAGGATCAACAAATGGTGGTTCAGGGAAAAGTCGAACGAAGTGCCCAAGCTGTTGGCAAAACCCAACAAGAAAAGAATGACAGAATGTACAAATGAATGACATTAGCAATGAAAAGGGAGATACAAATATTGCAGACATTTTTTATGAAAAAGCTTTACATTGGATGGATGTGTGAAAACAGATGAACTGAGTAAACTTCTGAAAATACGCAATTTATCAAAATTAACTTAAAAAGAAACAGGCAACCTGAATAGTCTTTATAATCATTAAAGAAATGGAATCACTAGTTAAATATCTTCCGTGAGCAAATACCAGGCCCAGGCAGTTTTCTGAGGAGGGCCTACCAAATTTTCAAGAGACAGTCCCAATCCTACACACACTCTCCTAGAGAGTGTAAAGGTGAAGTCCACTCCCTTCACTCATATCACACAGCCAGCACAGCCCTGATGACCAAGCCAGACAGTGACACACAGCCGGACAGTACACAGCAGGATGACTGTGCAGTCTTGACACAAACACAGATGTAAAACTACTGCAAAAACGAAACAGCCAAGTTGGGTTTATTTTAGGAATGCAACAGAAAATCTGTTCATTTAATAATTTGATGAAAGACTCATATCCAGAATATATACGGAACCCAGAATATATAGAACACTCTTACAAAGCCCTGGTGGCACAGTGGTTAGGAGCTACGGCTACTAACCAAAAGGTTGGCAGTTCGAATCCACCAGCTGCTCTTTGGAAACCCTATAGGGCAGTTCTACTCTGTCCTATAGGGTTGCTATCAGTCAGAATTGACTTGATGGCAATGGGTTTGGTTTTGGGTTTTTCTTAAATCGATGAACAAAAGACAACCCAATTTAAAATGGGGCAAGATGTGAGCACTTAAAAAAGAAGGCATCCAAGTGGCCAGTAAGCATATGAAATGGTGTTCAACATCATTACTCATCAAGGAATTGCAAAGTAGACCCACGATGACACCCTATTACACACCCACTAGAAGTGCCCACAGTGGAACAACTGGAACTCACCCAGTGTTGTTGGAGTGCACAGTGGTGTAGCCACTTTAGAGAACTGGTAGTCTCTCATAAAGTTAGGCTCCGTAATTGTACTGCTAGGTTTCTACCCAAGATTGATGAAACCATTCATCCAAAAAGACTTGTACCAGAATAGCACCACATCTTTATTCATAACAGCCAAGAACTGGAAACAACCATTAATGCCTAGCAAAGGAAAAAGAATAAACTAACAGTTTATTCAGTGATATTTATTTATTCACAGTGATACAGTGGAGCTGTCATGGTTTGAATTATGTCCCCCAAAAAATGTGTGTATCAGTTTGGCTGGGCCATGATTCCCAGAATTGTGTGGTTGGCCTCCATTTTGTGATTGTAATTTTATGTTAAAAAGGATTAGGGTGGGACTGTAACACCACCCTTACCCAGGTCACATCCCTGATCCAATGTAAAGGGAGTTTCCCTGGGGTATGCCCTGCACCACCTTTTATCTCTCAAGAGATGAAAGGAAAGGGAAGCAAGCAGAGAGTTGGGGACCTCATACTATCAAGAAAGCAGTGCCGGGAGCAGAGCGCGTCCTCTGGACCAGGGTCCCTGCGCAGAGAAGCTCCTAGTCCAGGGGAACGCTGAAGAGAAGAAAGCCGACAGAGAGAAAAAGCCTTCCCCTGGAGTTGACGCCCTGAATTCGGACTTTTAGCCTACTTTAACTGCGAGGAAATAAACTTCTCTTCGTTAAAACCATCCACTTGTAGTAGTTCTGTTACGGCAGCACTAGATGACTAAGACAGGAGCACTGTACAGAAATGGAAAAAGAATCAACTACTGACACACACAACAATGTGGGAGACTCTGAAAAGCATGTGTTCAGCTAAAGAAACCAGACACACAAGAGTGCGTCACGACTGATTCCACTCGGAAACTCTAGGCCAGGCCAAACCCTGTCTGGTGACATCAGCCCAGCATAGCAGGAAATGGCGGGGCGCACAAGGCAGTCTGCTGGAGTGAAGGAACTGCTCTGTGTCTTGGTCTCTGGGATTATGCATCTATACGTACATGTATGTGTACAAGTGTGTACGTACATGTGTATATGAACACATTCACCACTCGTGTCAATTTGTCTACAAGGAAGACCAGCTAATAGAACTATTATTTAAATTTACGCACCAACCACTAATGCCAAAGATGAAGAAATTGAAGATTTTTACCAACTTCTGCAGTCTGAAATTGATCAAACATGCAGTCAAGATGCATTGATAAATTACTGGTGGCTGGAATGCAAAAGTTGGAAATGAAGAAGAAGGATTAGTAGTTGGAAAATATGATCCTGGTGATAGAAATGACACAGGAGATCAAATTTTGCAAGACCAATTACTTACTCATTGGAAATACCTTTTTTCAACAACATAAACAGCAACTATACACGACCTCACCAGATGAAATACACAGGAATCAAACTGACTACATCTGTGCAAAGAGACGATGGAGAAGCTCAGTATCATCAGTTAAGAACAAGGCCAGTGGCTGACTGAGGAACAGACTATCAATTGCTCATATGCAATTTCAAGTTGAAGCTGAAGAAAATTAAAACAAATCCATGAGAGTCAAAATATGACCTTGAGTATAATCCCACCGAATTTAGAGACCATCTCAAGAACAGATTTGACACACTGAACACTAATGACCGAAGACCAGATTGAGTTGTGGGATGACATCAAGGCCATCATATATGAAAAATCAAAAGGTCCTTAAAAAGACAGAAAAAAAGAAGAGACCGAAATGGATGTCAGAAGAGACTCTGAAACTTGCTCTTGAATGTAGAGAAGCTAAAGGAAAAGGAAGGAATGATGAAGTAAAAGAGCTGAACAGAAGATTTCAAAGGGCGGCTCGAGGAGATAAAAGTATTATAATGAAACATGCAAAGACGTGGAGATAGAAAACCAAAAGCGAAGAACACATTCAACATTTCTCAAGCTGAACTGAAGAAAAAATTCAAGCCTCGAGTTGCAATCCTGAAGGATCCTATGGGCAAAAAATTGAATGATGCAGGAAGCATCAAAAGATAATAAAAGCAATACACAGAGTCACTACAACTGGCTGATGTTCAGCCATTTCAGGTGGTAGCAAAGGATCAAGAATTGATGGTACTGAAGGAAGACGTCCAAGCTGCACTAAAGGTACTGACAAAAAAAAAGTTTGAGAAACTGACGGAATACCAATTGAGATGTTTCAACAAATGGATGCAACGTTGGAAGCACTCACTCATCTATGCCAAGAAATTCGAAGACAGCCCGCTGTCCAACTAACTGGAAAAGATCCATATATGTGCCCTTTCCAAAGAAAGGTGATTCAACAGAATGTAGAAATTATCAAACAATATAATTAGTATCACATGCAAGCAAAATTATGCCAAAGATGATTCAAAAATGGTTGCAGTACATCAACAAGGAACAGCAAGAAATTCAAGCTGGATTCAGAAGAGGACATGGAATGAAGGGTATCATTGCTGATGTCAGATCTTGGCTGAAAGCAGAGAATACCAGGAAGATGTTTACCTGTGTTTTATTGACTATGAAAAGGCATTCAACTGTGTGGTTCATAACAAATTATGGATAACATTACAAATAATAGAAATTCCAGAACACTTTATTGTGCTCATGAGGAACCTGTACATAGACCAAGGGGCAGTTGTTCAAACAGAACAAGGGAATACTGCATGGTTTAAAATCAGGAAAGGTGTGTGTCAGGGTTGTATCCTTTCACCATACTTAATTCACTCCATATGCTGAGCAAATAATCCGAGAAGCTAGACTATATGAAGAAGAAAGGGGTATCAGGATTGGAGGAAGACTCATTAACAACCTGCGATATGCAGATGACACAACTTTGCTGAAAGTGAAAAGGAACTGAAGCACTTACTGATGAAGTTCAAAGACTACAGCCTTCAATATGGATTACACCTCAACATAAAACAAAAATCCTCACAGCCGGATCAATAAACATCATGATAAATGGAGAAAAGACTGAAGTTGTCAAGGATTTCATTGTACTTGGATCCACAATCAATGCCCATGGAAGCAGCAGTCAAGAAATCAAACGACATATGGCCTTCAGCAAATGTGCTGCAAAAGACCTCTTTAAAGTGTGAAAAATGAATATGTCACTTTGAGGACTAATGTGCGCCTAACCCAAGCCATGGTATTTTCAGTCACCTCACATGCATGCAAAAGCTGGACAATGGAAGAAGTGATGCCTTTGAATTAAGGTGTTGGCAAAGAATACTTAATATACCATGGACCATCAGAAGAATGAACAAACCTCCTTCCATAATGCTCCTTAGAAGCAAGGATGGCAAGACTTTGTCTCAAGTACTTTGGACATGTTATCAGATCAGAAGGGACCAGTCCCTGGGACATCATGCTTGGTAAGGTAGAGGGTCAGTGAAAAAAAGGAAGACCCTCAATGAGATGGTTTGACACAGTGGCTTCAACAATGGGCTCAAACATAGCAACAACTGTGAGGATGGTGCAGGACTGACCTGATGGTGCCTAATGACAGTCACCTGTGAACACATGTATATGTGTGCATGTATATGTATACTTGCTAGAGACCTATGTTAGAGTTGCTATGGTCTGTGCATTTTTCATGTATGTAAATCATGCCTCAATAAAAATTTACTTAAAACACACACGCCTTAGTTAGAGGTCAGGCCCATGAAGGGGAAGGGTGTGCGATGCATCTAAAGTACTGCTTTTCACCTTTCTGCCAGCCAGCTGGATGTCACCACCCCTGCAGTGTTGGGACCCAGAGAGGGGGTGGGCACTGTGCCTTCTCTAGGGCCCTCGTCCCTCTTCACCTGCAAGGTTGTAACAATAGTGTCACTGCCCACCCTGTCGGCTGCACCAGGGCTTCGTACCTACCTGGGAATAGCTGCCGTGGCCCTGTCAGCTGAAGTGAAAGAAGTCCTGTCCCTCCTGCAGGTGCAGGGACCTCAGATTGTCCTCAAACGCGCCCCCCGTGAGATCCTGTGGGAGGAGCACGGGTCGAGTCACCCCAGGCCTCCCCCTCTGGCCACCTAACTAGCACGGGGGCCCCTGCTCCCCTGGTTCTGCACCCCCACCTGTGGGCTCCAGAGGACCCCCAGGTTTGGAGGGTTGCCTGTGTGTCTGCCTGCCTGTCAAGTGGTCTACCGTGAGCTGCTCTCTGCTAAGGGAGAAAACATGGTGGGTCATTAGGGACACGCAGCTTAAAACCAACGAGAGAGCCCTACACCCCCACCCCAAACTGGCAAAAACTGAAGTACGACCACACTAAGTCTGAGTGTGCCTCTGCAGCCCTGGGCCCCACTTCTGCCCCTGGGTGTGTGAGCCAGCACAGCCACTCCAGCTGGCACTGTCCCCGTGACCACATACTTCCACCCCAGGACCAACCCCAAGAAACGCACATGCGTGTGTCAGGACACGTCCACAGACTCTCATGGCGTTTGTAACAGCAAGACACTAGACATCCAGACGCCTACCGTCGTGAGCAAGAAGTAGTGTGTGATACGTAAGTACTGAGGACAAGCCCCCGAGGACAAGCTGTCCAGTTACACCCCACAGTACAGGTAACTCACAAACAGGGTGTCGGGTAAACGAAATCAGAGGCAGGAGAGTGCAAAGCTCGATTCCATTCACAGGAAGGACAAAAAGGGTGAAATCAAGCTGCGGTTTAGGGATGCACACACACACCACTGTAACGATTAGCAAAGAAATCACCGTAGAAACTGGGACAGTGTTGAGAGTGGTGTTACTGCTGCAGTGAGGGGGGAGCGCGGAAGGCTGCTGTCTCCCTTGACCTGGGGAGGGGGCTGCTTGGGTGAGCACTTCGTTCATGAAATTGTAGTACATTCGCGTTCTAGAGCAGGTGTCCGCAGAGTTTTTCATAAAGGCCCAGGTAGTAAACATTTTCAGCCTTGTGCCCATATTTGGTCTCTGAGGTAACTACTCAACTCTGGCTTTATAGTTTGAAAGCAGCCACAGCCATTGTAACATGGCTGTGTTACAACAGAACTTTATAAACGCGGGCAGTGGCCTGGATAGCTTGCGGAATTCAGTTTAGACAATTTTCTGCATGTGTATGTCACAATAAGAAATTTATTTAAAGAAGAAAAATTCTGGAAAAGCAGAGTAATAAAGGAAGACTAGGCTCACCAAGTGATAAACATCATAAAACTACAGTGATTGAAACAGCACAGGACACTTCCCAACTCCTTCTATGAGGCCAGCTCAACAACAGACAAATAACCCAATTAAAAGATGGGCAACAGATCTGAAGAGACATTTCTTCAAAAAAGATAAAATATAAAATAAGCACATGAAAAGAAGCTCAACATCATTAATCATTAGGGAAATGCAGATCAGATCCACAATAACGTACCACTTCACATCCATTATGATGGCTATTATATAAAAAACAAAAACAACAAGTGTTGGTGAAGATGTGGAGAAACTAGAACCCTCACTGACGGCTGGTGGGAATGTAAGACTGTGCAGCTGTTCTGCAAGACAGCCTGACTATTCCTCAAGAGGTTAAACATAGCATCACCATGTGACCCAGCAATTCCACTCCTAGGTATACACCCAAGAAAAATGAAAACACATGTCCACATAAAGAAGTTTACAGCAGCACTATTCCTAATATTAAACGATGCAGGAAGCATCAAAAGGAGATGGAAGAAACACACAGAATCATTAAACCAAAAAGAATTGGTTGACGTTCAGCCATTTAAAGAGGTAGCATATGATCAGGAACCGATGGTACTGAAGGAAGAAGTCCAAGCTGCACCGAAAGCACAGGCGAAAAACAAGGCTCCAGGGATTGATGGACCATCAATTGAGATGTTTCAACAAATGGATGCAGAGCTGGAAGTGCTCACGCGTCTATGCTAAGAAATTTGGAAGGCAGCTACCTGGCCAACCGACTAGAAGAGATCCATACTTATGCCTGTTCCAAAGAAAAGTGATTCAACCGAATGTGGAAATTATCAAACAATGTCATTAATACCACACGCAAGTAAAATTTTTCTGAAGATCATTCAAAAGCAGCTGCAGCAGTATATTGACAGGGAACTGCCAGAAATTCAGGCCAGATTCAGAAGAGGACGTGAACGAGGGATATCACTGCTGATGTCAGATGGATCCTGGCTGAAAGCACAGAATACCAGAAAGATGTTTACCTATGTTTTATTGACTATGCAAAGGCATCCGAGAAGCTGGACTGTACCAACAAGAATAGGGCATCAGGATTGGAGGAAGACTCATTAACAACCTGCAATATGCAGATGACACTACATTGCTTGCTGAAAGGTAAAAAGGACTTGAAGCACTTACTGATGAAGATCAAAGACCACAGCCTTCAGTATAGATTACACCTCACCATAAAGAAAACAGAAATCCTCACAACTGGACCAATAAGCAACATCATGATAAATGGAGAAAAGACTGAAGTTGTCAAGGATTTCATTTTACTTGGATCCACAATCAACACCCATGGAAGCAGCAGTCAAGAAATCAAAAGACACACTGCATTGGGCAAATCTGCTGCAAAAGACCTTTAAAGCGTTGAAAAGCAAAGATGTCACATTGAGGACTTGCGTGCTCCTGCCCCAGGCCGTGGTGTTTTCAATCACCTCATATGCATGCAAAAGCTGGACAATTAATAAGGAAGACTGAAGAAGAACTGATGCCTTTGAATTGTGGTGTTGGCGAAGAATACTGAATATACCATGGACTGCCAAAAGAACAAAAAGGTCTGTCTTGGAAGAAGTACAACTAGAATGCTCCTTAGAAGCAAGGATGGTGAGACTACAGCTTACATACTTTGGACATGCTGTCAGGAGAGAACAGTCCCTGGAGAAGGACATCATGCTTGGTAAAGCACAGGATCAGCGAAAAAGAGGAAGATCCTCAACAAGATGGACTGACACATTGGCTGCAAGAATGGTCTCAAGCATAACAACAATTGTGAGCACGGCACAGGACCAGGCAGTGTTTTGTTCTGTTTATAGCATCGCTACAAGTCGGAACCAACTCAATGGCACCTAACAACAACATTCCTGATAGCCAAAAAGTAGCTATTTCAGTTTGTTCTGTTTTTATTGTTTTGCCAGCTTGGGCCTGTATTAGTTATCTGTTGCTGCATAACAAATTACCACAAACTTAGTGGACTGGTGGTGTGGACGGCAGGGTGGGAGCCATTCTGAGGAGCCTGAGCCTCCTGCACTGCCCAGCATCCCTCCCAGGACAGCTGGGTTTAGGGCACATCTGTGAGGCAGGCCTCAGGAAGGCTCCCATGCATGTCAGCCCCGAGACTCCTGGAGTCTGGCTGTCTTCACCCACTTTACGGATCAGGACAAGGCGGTCTGGTAACTTTTCCAAAGTGGCATGGTCGTGGGGGCAGCACTGGGGTGTGAATCCCCTGCGTAGCTGCTTCTCTGTCCTCACGGCTGAAGACAGGAGACCCAGCAGGAGCACAGCCCCCGTCCGGTGGCCTGGCAGCGGCACAGCCCACCCTGTTAGGTGGCCTGGTAAGGGCACAGTGTCTCCCATCAGGTGGCCCGGCAGGAGCACAGCATCCCCGTCAGGTGGCCCAGCAGGGGCACAGCACCCCATCAGATGGCCCAGCAGGGACACGGCGCCCCCTGTATGCTACAGCCCCGACACTCACCAGTTTCACGCAGATGATAAAGGGTGGCTGAGCAGCGCGGAAGTGCAGGATTGGAACCCGGGGCTTGGGCCTTTCCTACAGGAGATGCAAGACCTCAGCTCTGAGCCACTTGTGTGCTGGCCACAGAGAGGAGCAGCTGCCCTCACGTTCTTCCTGGTGACAGTGACCCCACTGGGCAACTCCAGGGCCAGTGTCCACTGCGAACAGCCACAGCTCAAGTGACAAGAACCTGCGGCTGAGACGTGAGGCAGGCGCTGCGCTGTGGTCACAAGCCTTTGGGGGCAGATGGGCCAGAACCCAGAACTCAGGACCGGGACCAGAAACCAGAACCGGGACCAGAGACCAGGACCCAAAATCCAGAACTGGGCCTCAGAACCCGGACCAAGACCTAGTACCCAGGATCCAGGACCTAGGGTTGGGCCCAGAACCAGGACCTTACTTCCATCCACCTCCCTACCCCCACCGCCCTCACAACCACCAGGGGATCACAGACACGGGGTGCCTTGGAGTAGGAGCCTCTTCCTGGAAAGCGGGCCCTGGAGGGGAGTCTGGGTGGTGGAGTACGCTGAACACGGGGTAGCGACCAAGGGGGCGCACAAGGCAGATGTAGCTCCCCGCTGCAGATGCCTTGGAGGTCTCTGAGGTCAGTGTCCAACAGGCACCTTCCCCTGCCCCCACACCACCCCACGACCTGGCCCACTGCCCAGCCCAGTCTCTAAATGTGGAGACCAGACGCCCAACTGCAACCTGGGGCGCTGTGTCTTCGTGCTTCCTGCCCTGGGCATGGGGTGGTGGGGAGCCTCAAAAACCACCTCCCTCGGGGGAGGCTGGCACCAAAGCCCATTAGGGCGGGGGCAGGCCCATCAGGGTCCCTGCTGCCCCCAAGACCACCCAGGAGCCTGAGCAGGGCTGTACCTATTGGGCACAGGGGCCTTCCTTGTGAGCCTGGGCAGCTGGGTGTCCCCCTCTGGGCCAAGACGGGCTTCCTGGGAGGCAGGCTCTGTAGGGTGGGTGGGGGCAGGTGTCCCCCCTTGGCAGGCAGGGAGTGGACTGTGACCCCTGAGGTGGTGAGGCCAGGTCAGGTCCCATAAGCACCCCTAGCCCCAGGCTCCTGAATGTCCCCCGATCCTGTCCTCAGAGGAGGGTGCGGCCCCCACACACCTGGGAATCCTCGTAGCAGTAGAAGCCCTTTTTGATCTTGCGTTCATCAACGTCACAAAATGCTACTACCTAGGTAAAGAGCGGGACGCTCACAGCTGAGGGTCCTGGCTCGACCTCTCCTCGGGGAGGGGCCAGGCTGAGCCCACCACGATCTGCCCGCACCCAGGGAAGGGGAGAGCCACAGCAGACAAGCCACGTGGTGAGATGCCTCCTAAGGGGGTGCAGCGACTGGCCACTGATGCCAACGATGGCTGGTCAGTCACGGGGCTCTGCAGGAGACTGGCTCAAGGAAGAGCCAACCCTCCCTATCTGGAGGGGACAGGATGTCGAGAAGCTAAAGCGGGGGTGCTGGGTAGCAGAAGAAAGGGGGTGGGGGGACTGGGTAGCAGCAGGAGTCGGGGCTGCAGAGGGCGAGGGGGCCCCACCTTCTGCCGGTTGGCGGCCTCTAGGCTACGGTAGAGCCGCCGGCCCTGCTTGCCCGCATTCCAGATGGTGAAGGTCGCCCAGTATGGGAGCACCCTTTCTTCCAGAAAGCGGACGCGGAGGGTCCAGATGGTGCCTCTGTGGACAGAAGAGAAAGCATGTGACGTGGGCATGGCGGGGCTCCAGTCAGCTCCTCCATAACGCCACCCCTGTGACCTGGGATGACCTGACCCCAGCCTGGCTGGGCTCTAAGGGATTGCATGAATGAACAAATGAATGAGTGAACAGATGAGTGACCAAATAAATGAACAGATGACTGAATGAACAAATGGATGAGTGAAAAACGGTGAGTTAACGAACAAATGGATGAGTGAATGAACGGCTGAACGAACACATGGATAAGTGAATGGACAAATGGGTGAGTGAATGAATGGGAATCAATGAATGAACGAACAGGTGAGTGAATGAACGAATGGGAATGAATAAATGAATGGGTGAGTGAATAAACGGATGAGTGAACACCCACAGACACTGCTCCCTCCGCGTGTGCCGAGTTCCCTGAGCCTCGGTTTCTTCTCTGAATCCACCTTCCTTCTCTGCTTTCCCTTCTGCTTGGTGACAGCCCTCACCTCTTGGCTGCGGCCAAGGTGCCTGGAGGGTCCAGGCAGCCCACAATCAGCATCCCCCGCGTCAGGTCTGGCTAATGCTCAACAAGGACAGCAGGGGAAGGCAGGGACAGGAGGACTCAGTCCCCCTACTGGAGAACCCTGATTCTGGAATGCTGCCAATCTGAGGTGTCCCCACCCCAAGCTGTCAGGCCATGAGGTGACTGCCAGCTGGTGAGGGAGAACATCCTGGGGTCCAGCCTCAACTTCCCCCCTTCCTTCCTCCCTCTGGAGTTTACAATGCATTCTGTATTTCACTGCACAATCTGGATTCCATATGTGTTCTGGACTTTGCTGAATCTTCTGTATTTCACAGCATGTTCTGGATTCTACCACACGTTCTAGGTTCCTTCTGTGTTTTGGACTTTGCGGCATGTTCTGGGTTTCACAGATGTGTTTTCAACGTCCTACAGTGCATCTCTCAGGAACGGGGCATGATGGCACCGTCCACCCCAATCCTCTGGGTTTGGGTGGGCCAAGCCTCACTGGGTGACCAGGGGACCCACAGACTCACAGCAAAGCGACGTGTTTCTGGACAAAGTCCAGGGCTGGGTTATGGCGTGCCTGTCAGCAGCGACTGACATGGTTTCCATCTGAATATCCTGCCGCCTTAGCCTCCACCTCCCACTTTGAAGGAAACAGTTAATGGTGTGGCACTGTGATTCCAGCAGGAACATGCATGTGCACGATGACTTCCTAGTCCTGGGCCTTGGCCCTCGTGATGGTTTCACACCTCACGTAACACTAAGGAACGCCTGAGTCTGACAGACTTCACACCCCAACAGAGAGCCACCTGGGCAGCCTCACAGTGCCAAGCTTCGCATCATCCCAGCAACGGAAGCAGTGACTCCTGAGAAGGGACAACAGGGAGCTTCAGGAACTTTCAGCCCTCAGGGCCGGGAGACATGGCTCAGACAAGAAGTCCCTTCAGTGACAGGCTGCTTTCACAGTGGAGAACATGGGGTGGGGCAGTCCTGAGATTCCTGAGTGCCTGGCTGGGGCAGCTGAGGGGACAGTGGGGGACCCTCCCTGTGCAGGGGGGACAGAGACAGGCTGCCCACTCCAGGTTCCCAACCAGCTAAGTTGACGTTTGGGTCCTGGGTGGGAGCCGGCGGAGAAGGCCTGCTGAGTGGGGCATGGGCTTTGTGGGACCCCATGGTTCAGAGGGCTCTTTACTTCTTAAAGATATTATCTCTTTATGCTTCTTGGCATATCTAAAATTTTTCATAGTAAATTTTTTAATGCTACAAATGCTGCCCAATGTCAATTTAAAATAAAAGGACAAGAATCAGAGCATACTCTCGAAACAGAGGGCTTTGTGAAAGTTTGAAATAATTCAACTCTTCAGGAAGCCTGAGGCTACGATTAAAGCCCATTACCCTGTGAGGTTTGTGACTCTCAGCTCAGGTATAATCCCACACAGAAACTGACATTAGATCACTGCTTTCGTGCTGTGGGTGGCAAAGCCTCACGATGCAAAACAGTTCTCGCCATCAAGGACGGTCTGTCAGCACGCAGGACCAGGATGTGAGGCATTAAGTCCTCTGGCCTGCTGCCTGGTTTCTCCCTGGGTATGCAGCGCCCGCTAAACTGCAGGGCTGGCGTGTTGTGTGTGCACCCCCCAGAGACCTGTGCTTCATGGTGCTTCACATGAACTCGCTTCAAAGAATCTCAAAGTGGAGAAGACACTTAAGCAAACCTTCAGGATGATGAGAGAGAGATTCTAGAGTATTCCAGCACTTCCACAGTTCTGTCAAGGAGCTTCCACCAATGGAATACCTGGAGGACCGCACCCAGACAGCTGCATTTTACTTCCCAAAGTTTTTCTACTCCATTTATGGGTGGTGGGGAGGGCTTCCTCCTTGGAGGTGCTTCTCAGATATTTAAATTTGTTACTAAGGTTTAATTACGCCGAGTATAGTTGACAGAGCTTAAGCGTGGAGGTCCGTGGGTTATGATAAATGCATGAATCCGTGTAATCCACACCCTAGAGCATTTCCATCACCCCAGAAAGTTCCCACGCGCCCCCGCCCTGAAGGAAACCATGCCTCTCGTTTTATCACCATGGACAAGGTTTGCCTGTTGTAGATGTCACATAAATGGAATCCTACAGTATGCACACTTTGTGTCTGGCATTTTTCACTAACCACATGTTTTTGACATTAATCATGTTGTCATATGTATCAGCAGATTGTTCTCTTTACTGCTGAGGAGCATCCATGATACATCTCAAAATGTGTTTATCCATTCGCCTGTTCGTGAACATAGGGATTGTTCCCCATTCTTGGCAATTATTAATACAGCTGTTACAAATATTCCTCTACATGTGCTATGGGGACACATGTTTTCATTTCTCTTGGATAAACATCTAGAACAGAAATTGCTGGGTCAAAGGGCTGGTATCAATTTAGTTAACCAAACAGTTTTCCGAGGAGGCTGCACCATTTTATACTCCTGAAAGAAATGCATGAGAGTTCTCGTAGTCCCACACCCTTGCCAACATTTGGATTTGCCAGATTTATTAATTTTAGCCACTGAAGTGTGTTGTAGTTTCAATTTGCATTTCCCTGATACTAACGATGGGCACTTTTTCATGTGCTTACTGACCATTTGTGTATTTTGCTTTGCTGAGTGTCTTTTCAATATTTTGCCCGTTTTTATTGGATTGTTTGTGTTTTTAATTGTTGGGTCACAGGGATTCTTTATATATTCTCCATACTATTCTTTTGTCAGATATATGGATTGTGAATATTTTCTCCCAGTCTGTGGTTTGCCTATTTATTTTCCTAATGGTGTCTTTTCATGGGCAAAACTTTTAAATTTTAATTTTGATGTCTATCAGTTTTTAAATGGTTAGTGATTCTGGTGTCTTCTCTAACAAAATTTTCCCCAAATTGTGAAGACACCACCTGATGTTTCCTTCTAATAGTTCTGTTTTAGCTTTTATATTTAGGTCTAACATCCATCTCAAATTAATTTTTCTGTATGGTGTGAGCCAGCAGTTGAGATTTAAGTTTTGTTCCATGTGGACATCCATTTGTTGACAAAATTTTCCTTCCTCTGTTGAATGGCTTTGGAGACTTTGTGGAAAATCAACTGACTGTATAATATGAGTATTTCTGGATTCTTATTGTTTAACTATTTTTTTACTGTTATTCTATTATTACACTTTCCTGATTACTGTGTTTTAGAGTACATCTTAGAATCAGGGACTGTGAGTCCTCAAATTTTGTTCTTCCTTTCAAGATTGCTTAAGCCATTTGGGGTCCTTAGAATTTCCTGTGAATTTTAGGAGTATCATTTCTACAAAGAAGCCTGCTGGGACATTTATCAGGACTGTGCTGAATCTACAGATCAATTTGGGGGAAAACTGACATGTTAACAATAATGAGTCTTCCAAATTATGAACAGGGTGTATCATCTCTCTAACAATAGGTCTTCTTTAACTTCTCTCAACGTTTTTTGTAGTTTTTAGGGTAGAGAACATACACATACTTTGTTAACTTTACCCTGAAGCATTTTGGTTTTGATATTATTGTTCATGTTTTTTAATTGCATTTTCAATTGTTCATTGCTAGTCTATAGAGATGTTATCTATATCTATCATCTATTTTTTTTTTAACTTGCACACATATATATTTTAAACTGAAGAATTAAAAATACATCCCCTCGTTTTCTTCACTCAAACTCCATTCTTCTTATCTCTCTACCCTCTTTGGGAGTCCTGGGGCTGAGAAGAAGAGGGAGAGAGGAAAGCAGCCAGGCCTCCCACAAGGTCAACGGCCAGGTCTTCCACCTTGTGAGGCCCCAGCTAGTGGGTTTGGCTCCCCTTAGTGGGGTGGGGAGGTGGAGGGGAAAGAAATCGGCCCCTTATGCCCCCCATGCCTATAATGGAGTCAGGTGTTCCAAGGGGCTCCCTCTGAGAACAGGTGGGGTTAGAGCAGGTGAAAAATATGTAGATTTTACCTCAATCACAGAAAGAGGACAAATGGGCCGGTTGCCTGCATCCCTGGACTCCTGGTCCTTGGGGACCTGCCCGCCTCCTCCCCTCCACACTGGGCTCCCGTAGTACCACAACCACTGTGTGCCCACCGACTGGGGTGGGCAGGGACCGGGTAGGGTCCATTCATCCATGTACCTCAGCTGCCACCCCTCCTTCCCCCAGCCCTCCAGCAGTCCCCCTTCAAGCCCTCTCAGCTCCCCCATCCCCTGCCCTCAGCCCCCCTCATTCCCTCCCCAGGCCTCCTATTCGACTCTCAACCCCCTCAGCAACTCCCGGGCCCCACTCCGCCCTCAGCTACCCCGCCCTCAGCCCTTGAAGCCCCTCATCCCCCTCAGCATCCTCC